AATGGGCTCAAACAAGGAGAATGGGGTGAACGCATAAGTCACGGGGAGACGTGTGGAATGACACTTCAAACGAGAAAGGAATAGAACAGTCGGCGATTGCAGTCGGGCACGGGCACGTGATCGCCAATGATGATGATGGACAGTTATGCGTGGCCGAGGGAAGTCGGGGGGTGGGGGGGGGGGATGCAGAAAAGCAAATGACAGAATTAGCAGGAGACATCGGGATGCCCTTCTGACAGATTTATTACAGGCAGCTTCAATTATCCCGCAGCGTGCTCTCCGATCTCAGTCGTCGAGCTTTGGGAGCCCCTACCCGTGTGTCCCTCGGATGCTCACCACTGGGGAAGGCGAATCAAGGAAGGCCCAGGCGGTGCCGGGGGGGTATTCAGGGCTCAGTACCATATTCAGCGATGTCCGGATGACATGTCCACATAATCAACGGTCATCCGCGCTTCAATTTTTATATGCTTGAATTAACTTCAGGACGTTTTGCAGTGTGCTGCCGTGACTCAGGAGTCGTGCCCAAAGAGGAGAAATAGGCAGAGAGAAAAAAACAATGTTTGGAATATTTGATTGTTCTTGCTGGCATTCCAAGGCGGGTCAGAAAAGTTCCAGTGCTGATGTTACAAGGCGAAAACTTCTTGCGCCACCTGACGACTTACTCATAAACTCGTTCCTTGCGCACTGTTCATCGCTTGAAAACCTCATGTCGGGATCATCCCAAACCAAGCACCCCTCCTGGAATATTATTTAGGATATTTTGATAAGATCCCAAACTTTTCAAGACACTTCAGAAAAAAAAAAAAAATGTATTTTTTTTTTTTTTTTTGGCATCGACGCTGCGTGTGCAATTCCTGGTCCAGCTCTCAAATGTGACTGACTCACACACACACACACACACACACACCTGCTAGTCACTAAGAAATGTGGCAGATTTGGGGTGATTATGAGCTTACATAATGAAACGACTAGCACCTTGACGTGAGAATGTGACGGAGAGCCGTAAAAACAGATCAAAGTCACATCATGCTGAAATGAAGTGTCAACCTTTTCGAGTGATTGCCGTATCACTTTATAGACTCTGGCATGTGTCATAAATTCACATTAAGAGTAACGCAAAGTCTTCTAAATCAAAAGATATACCCGACTTGTGAGAAATTGACTCTCTTAGCACTTTTTACGGATCACGCGGATTATTTATTGTCCGAACTGTGACACGGATCAGCAAGTGGCAACGAAACCCCGGCTATCAACGAATGGAGGCGTTCACTGTCGTATTTTATTCTTTCACTGCGTACAACCGGACAACCTCTTTGAAAAGTTTTTCACTCATTAAAGTGTCTACTTTTAGACTCGATTTATTAATTTTTTTGAATCTAAAAACTCTGCCAAACGAATCATGCTGGTCGCAACCCATGATGGGACTACAATTCAGTAGCATGAATTCTAATATTCTTTGTCTTCTCCCTGTGTTGTTATCATCTGTTATTTTTTTCTTACCCAGGTCCCCCATCTGGTCCGGAAAACCCGATCTCTACGGTGAACGAGACCTGCGTGACTTTGGAGTGGTCGTCCCCCAGAGACACGGGAGGACGGGGGGACATCACTTACAGCCTTCACTGCAGAAAGTGCTCCGGCGAGGGCAAACAGTGCGCGCCCTGTGGAAGCGCCGTCCACTTTGTGCCGCGGCAATTTGGCCTCACATCGGCCACGGTCGCCATCACCGACCTGCAACCGGATTCAAACTACAGTTTCATCATCGAGAGCCAGAACGGCGTGTCGGACTTAAGTCCGACCCCGAAGGGAAGAGCCGTGATTAATATTACCACGTCGCAAACAGGTGAGTGACTTAGCGAGTCAGCCATTTGTATCCACTCGTTCTGCAGCGTAAAGAAACCAAAGGAGGCAGACGACAGTCGCATTTCTCCACTCCCGGTGTCGTTATTTTAGTCCACGGCGTGTTTCAAAACATCCCAAACGGACCCACCAAAGTCCTGAAGAGCTGAGCAGCTCCCACTTCCTATTCAGCCATTTTGCAACCGATTATTGGGTTGGAGCAAAGACAGGGCTTTCTTTTACAACAGTCACAAATACTCACTGTCGAGGTGCGATCGACTTTTTGTCTGGACAAGCCTCATATTTCGGCTGCTACATATTCGGTTATTCCAGTGACTAATGTGGGCTTTTCTTCCATTAATGGGAAGGCAGCAACAACTTGACGCTTAAGTGATTAACAACGGCTAATTTTTGCGCCACTGCTCGTTTATTAGTCACTCGCACTGTCACTTTTCTTTTAATCGCACGTTACATCCTACACGGCCGCGGATGTGTCGAAAACGGGCGCAGCAGAATTGCATGTGACAGGGTGGTGATGACGAACAGGCGCGTAGGAGGTTACGACCCTCATTAAGAACCCCCGCACATGCCACTCACATCCTCGTGCACACTCGCACTCATTTTTATCTGCCGCCCAATGTGGGACGGGTGACTCGGTCATCGGTTTTGCGATTTTCATGCATAATGAGCAGATCGTTTATCATTCCACCTTCTGTAATGGAAAATATATCAAATAAAGCCTTGTAAATATACCGTCAATTAGCATACGATGTTTCATGTGACAAGTTCTGATTTTCGCGGCACAAAAAAAAACAAAAAAACATACCACCTAACACATCTCTCCCCACTTCAGCGTCAAGCTTCATTCACCCTCCCCGTTCTCTCTCTCCTTTCCTTTTCCTGCAGTGAGCGTTGTGTTGAAGGAGAGGCGCAGCAAGGACAGCGTGACATTGGCCTGGCAAGGCCCACAGAGACCCAAAGGTGTGATCGTGGAGTATGAGGTCATCTACTACGAGAAGGTGAGAGAAAAAAACTCATTCTTAAAAGGTTGCCCTGACCTGTGTACCTTTGTTATTGGCATTTCGACAGCGCTGTACTTTTTCCCCATACTAGTAAACGTCCATCCATCCATCCATTTTCTGTTCCGCTTTACCCTCACAAGGGTCACGGGGGGTGCCGGAGCCTATCCCAGCTGTCTTCGGGCAGTAGGCGGGGGACACCCTGAACCGGTTGCCAGCCAATCGCAGGGCACACAGAGACGAACGACCATCCGCACTCACACTCACACCGAGGGACAATTTGGAGTGTTCAATCCGTTTGCCATGCATGTTTTTGGAATGTGGGAGGAAAACGGAGTACCCGGAGAAAACCCACGCAGACCCGGGGAGAACATGCAAACTCCAGACAGGGAGTTTGCATGGATCTGGAATTGAACCCGCTACCTCTGCACTGTGAGGTCGACGCGCTAACCATTGGACCGCCTACTAGGAAACGTCAATGTCAAAAATAGTTCAACTTCGTTGACTCTCAAAAAAAATACATTTTTTTAAAACGGCTGCAGAATTATCCACGCATACCCATTTTAAAAAACATGGTCACATTTTTCTTGCTTATTAGCGCCGACTGCAAATGGAAGGTGTCATCTTGAACGCCGGTCACGGGATTCGCGAAACCAAACGTGTTCGTCTCTCTCGATTGACTTATTGGCTGTGTGTTTTAGCTGGAGGGCATATCAGACTCGCTCCTCTCCCGCAGCTCCCGGCATGTCAATTACTCACACATCTGTTGGACAAATCTCGTAAAACGCGGTCGAGGTGATGAAATTAAGCCTCGGCGCCTTTGAGCGTGTGTGTACGGGTGACGGCTCGCATTAGTCATGAAATAGTCTTAATCCATGCCGAAGAGCGTCTTCCATTAGAGAATGAGAAACCTCTCTGCAGGGTTCCGACGAACAGACACACGTCTTCGTTCGTCAGCCCTCCATCGACATCAACCCACAGGAACACATCCAATCCAATCATGAACTGAAGAACAGCAAAACTTGACGACATACTCTTCCCAAGTGTCGGAATGGCCGTCTTTAAGAACGAACATGATGAAGAAATAAATAAGTGGCTTTTATCTCTTCAGTATTACGTTTTTTCACTTGACTTCTTTTATGATCTCCGCTTCAGAACCAGCGGGAGCAAAACTACACCGTTTTGAAAACTCGCTCCACCATGATGACAGTGGACGGGTTGAAACCGGGCACCACCTACGTGTTCCGGGTCAGGGCTCGAACCGCCGGCGGCTACGGGAGCTACGGCGGAGAGATTGAACTGGAAACCAGCCACGAAGGTACGCATTTTGAATGTACGCAACCTGTCGATGGTTTTCTCCGTGCCACGGAGGGTATTGATCTTTCGCAGTCCTGTGTGTAAGGCGCGCATGTTCAAACAGATCCAAATTCAAAGAGCGCGCGACGGTCAAGGAAGACAAAGACAAAGTGCAAACAGCGGCGCTCGATTCCATCTCCATGTGGTGATTTGTCCCCCTATGGAGTTTAAAATCAATCCGATGGATGGTTATTAAATCGCTCACATTTCATCTCAATGGCTTCTTACGGTTCTCTTGTCATCAGGATTTGTACGATTTATTCGATTAAAAAAAAAAAAAAAAGTGACGCTTGTCAGTTAAGGAATCTCACTCTTGCATTTATTGGACTTGTTTTCGTCAAGGGGAAGTTCACATCATAACATTTCTATTTTGAAACATCCGGGTAAATATTTATGCTATTAATTAATATGTATATTTATTTTTATTTTTTTTTATTGCAACTATCCACTTTTTCAGCCGCCATTGAAGAAAGACAAAATGCTGGCTGCGATGTCACTGAAAACTTTGATCGATTGCAGTGCCTTAAATGTTTGTGCAAAATTTTGTATTTTTTTTATTAGATCCCCCACCCCCTTTTTTTTTTCAAATAATGTACAAAAATGCAATCAATACCTTGTTTTCATTCGTGAAGTTTCAGTGAAAATGCATTTATTACTACTTGTGTTAGTTTAAATTAAAAAAAAAAAAAAAGATTCGCATTTATTTTTTACTCAAAGGGTACCAATTTCTTTGGCATGTGATCAACCACCGTCGCCGTGTTGTCAAACTCACTTTCCCTTCTTGTATGCTTTGTTAGCCGTCATTTACTTGGCTCATCACTTCATCATGGGGGGAAACGATTTTCTTGCAATCGAGGCCCCATAATCTGCTCTTCAAAGTGCACATTGATTCTCAGATGGCCGGGCAGAGAGGGCCATAAATCTCTTAACGTATAGCAGCGCGGATATAGATCGCGCCGCATACAGTGGGAACACATTAGCCTACTAATCATTGAATAATCAATGAATATGGTTGAAAGGAGGCTTTCCGCTTCTGCCCTGCGACAAAACTGTATGCGGGAAATGCAAACGACGGGGAGATTGTCATTGTTAGCATTTGCGCTATGATTTTTTTTCTTGTTTGTTTGTTTTTTTACAAGTTCAATGCTAGGCGCCAGGGCAGAAAAACGAAAGCCGCATGTATTAAAAACACATAGGCGTCGTATGGCGAGCTGATTTGACATTTCAAAGCTGAGGTTTTTTTTTTTTTTTACTATAGTTGTAATTACATTTTGAATTGAGGTAACTATCACGTAACTTCTCATTGAATTGCATCTAGGAAAGATGTCGGCGGTTTCGCCATTCGAATGACGTTAAAGAGATTTCCAAAAAAGATAGCCGCAACATATTCCAACGTCGGTGTTAATTAAATTTTAGGAGGGCTATTTAATCAGGTGCACGAGGCCAAGTGCACTTCAGAGTCTTATCAATGTGAACATATCTGATCAATGGTATTGATTATGAAAGAATATGCGCATGCTAGTTAATGCAGCAGATCCCAAAGTGCTGCTCGCTTGAGAGACTTGAATTGCCAACAGACACGTTGCACGCACCGATGCACTTGTGCTCACCTATGGCGGATAAAATGGAAATTTGTTTCGATGAATTGCTGGATCGGTGTGGTGTAGGAAGAAAAATAAATAAATAAAAATCGATGTGACCGGAAAGTTCTGGCCGGCAGTCTTGTTATACGCAACGTTGACCGGCGCCGAGTGGGAATTGCTCTCACGTCTTCTCTCGGTGCCTTCTCAGGCAGGCGAGGCTTTTCATCAGGAACCTTGCTTACTATTCCATCCAGCTCCCTCGCTCGCTTTTATCACTTTGCTGCTGCCTTTTTTTAAATTTATTTGTTTATTTATTTGCAATTGCTCCTGCTGCTTTTTTAAATTTATTTGTTTATTTATTTGCAATTGCTCCTGCCGCTTTTATTAAATCTGCCACGCGCTCCCCCTCTGTCCTCTCTCCACACAGACGTCTTTGCAATCGGAGACCCGAACCAGACCACCATTCTGGCCGTATCGGTGGCGGGCGGCGTCGTTCTCCTCATCTTCTTGGTGATGTGCTTCGTTGTTAGCGGAAGGTGAGGTCAAGCACGCAAAAATGATCACGCGATAGAACGAGACGTTGCCCTTTTTTGCGAGCGAGAAAATGTGAATTCATCGTCTCGACGTGTAAGGAGGCATTTGTAGCGGATGCTGTTGAGGACGTACTAACTGAGCAACAACGGCTTTTTGGTCTTTAAAATTTAGGTCTGATACAGAAGGATTACATTATTGATGGGCAAACCGCAGCCGAGCATCCAGCTTCTGACATTTCAGCCCCAACTAAAGGCCGTGTTAGTCTTTCTGTGAAGTAGACAGCGCTGCTAAGAGCGCCTCCTTTCAAGGTTAATACCGTGTCTCAAAGAAGGCCACACAGGGGATGGAGAAGAGAGGGAGAAAATAGAATCAAATGATGCAGACGGCTGAGAGTTGAGAAGATGAAAGGAAGTGAATTAGGCTCTTTTTGGTGGGGAGGACGAAAGGAAAAGACGACGAGTGGAGAAAAGTTTTTTTGGGGCCGGGGGGGGTTCAGAGAAACGCGTTCTACCCAAGAAAATTTGCTAAGACAATCAAAGTTCGCCGAGAGCAGCAATGAATTGAACTTGAGATTTTTTTTTGTTCATACCTGGCCCGGGGGACGATTCAAAATATTCATCGGAAGAGTAAAGAAATCTTTTCCGTCTCTTATGCTCAGCAGCAACATGCAAACCGTATTCATACAAATCACAGAATGTTAAGAATGGCGGGATCGACGACACCCAAAAAAATCCATTTGTTGGAGTACCACCGTTCAAAATCCTCGGCTTTACGTGACCGGGATCGACGACACCCAAAAAAATCCATTTGTTGGGAGTACCACCGTTCAAAATCCTTGACTTTACGTGACTCAACTCAGCTCAACTCAACTGTATTTATAGAGCACTTTCAAACAGCCATCACTGCATACAAAGTGCTGTACATGGAGCAATTTAACACATACAACAAACAGTAAAGCAAATCGGTAATAAAGACGGTTGAAAGCACCGAACAGCAAAACCAATGACGATGGAAAAAAACCTTCCGCTGGGGGCGGGAGTTGCACCCCCGAGTCTCTGTGCATACACCGTTAGTTCTGTTGCACGGGTTACCTTTGCTTATTAGTTGACACGCAGCCAGTCTGCACAGGGTCCTTGTGTCCATGCTTATTACTGTTATTTATTTATATATATTTTAACTTATCATACTCATTATGATCCCTCAAGGAGAAAATTAAATTTTCACTCGGCTGTATATTTACTCGCAGAGAGCAAGATCACTCACGGAAAGGCACGCAAGGAGAGATTCAGAGCCAAAGAGATGCGGAAACAGTCTTGTTTGAGCTGAGGGCTGAGGACTGTGCTTGAAACATGTATTTGTTACGCATTTTGATGCATTTTTATGCTTTAGAAAACATTTATGTCGGAATTTAGGGGATCTTGGAACGGATTAGGGCATTTCCATGGAAAACTCGTCTCTACTTAAGAAATGTTCTAGTTAAGAAATTTCTTCCAGAACCAATTCATTTCATAAGTAGAGGTACCACTGTACAGTGGGGCCTTGAGAAAACAAGTATCCCGACTTGCGAGATTTTTGAGATACGGGTCGCAGCTGAGGAATGCAAGGACATGAGAAAATGAGGGGGGGGGGGGCGTAGAGAAGAAGGTGAGAAAAGAAAACCAAAAAAAAATTCTAAGATGATACAGGTACAGAGGGATGAAAGAAGGGATGACATCTGTGACTTCGCGGTAGCGCCTGAGCAAAAATTGAACCTCAACGAGCTCCAACTCGATTAACAAAAGGCTACGCGCAACACACAAGCTGCGCACGCGCCCGCACGGACACTCACTAATGAACACACTCGGAAAACATTACTATTGATTGAGGTGATTGCTTATCAGGCGGAGCGCAATGTTCGCCATCGAGTCGGAGCGATGTAATCAGGCCAAGACCCGCACACACAAACAAACGCACAAACACACACACACATTTCGTACATATAGAGCACTACAACAATTTTTTTTTTTTTTTAATCAAAGGGGAATTATGAGAGACATAAAACAAGCCGTTAAATGTCGCACGTTTTGAGCACGCGTGATGTGTGACGCGCCCACAGAGTCACACTCGGCTAATAAGCTCTCACAGGCCGGGAGGTGTTAACTGAGTTTTACAAGAGGGTCGATCCGCTGACATCAATTTTAGGTCGCTTCGTCTGGCGTTGTCGCCCTCCATCTTCCTCCTATTTAGACGTGGGGAGCAGTGTTGATTACCGCTCTGGATTAAACAGCATCTGTTGCAGCTGTCAAAAGTTGTGTCGCCGTGTGCATTAGGTGAGGTTTGGAGTTGCGTTTTTTATCGGGGATCAAAGCTGCATCGGGGAGCCAGGCAGGAGGAGCAGCGGAACAACTAGACTGAAAGGAAGTCGTGCGGAATGATTTTTCAAAAATAAATTACAAATATTTTCCACTCAATATTCCGATTTAAAATGTGACTATTCTTCCATGGTCCTCTTCATATTTATTTATTTATTTTTTTTAAAACAAGCACAAGCAAATTAATCTGTGTTACAGTAAACGATATCAGATTTATTCTTCATGAATATTTTGGTCTTATAAGTTTGGCTTGAATGAATTATGAATTAAAAGACAGTGACTCACGTGTTGAGTAGGGTGTTAAGCAAGTAAAGAGCGGGGCGACGTTGGTTAGATTTAAGTCCCGCTGCCATCGATGGACGTGCGCTAATGCTAGCATTAGCCGGCGCTAAATCGGCCTAGCGTAGGTGTCACCAATGTGGTGCTCGCGAGCACCATGTAGCTTGATACTACCTACCACTGCTATTAGCTTATTGTTACACCATAAGGGGAAACATGAAAAAGTGTCTAAAGCTCCTCAGAATGCCGAGCGTCTCTGACAAATAACACCAGTTCCGCTTGTAGGAGTGCCATTATTGCTCTGCAAGCGCAGGCGTGGAAGTGTGTGTTTGTGTGCGAACTTGCCACTTCTCCTCCACCTGGGGGGGTGGGGGGGGGGCAGCGGGGGGGCTTTGGCAGGCTGGCAGGTGTGAGTGGTGGGAGGCAAGCGAGCGAATGGCATAACCATGAATTCAGCAGATGGCCTTTCACTCAAAGTGTGCTCGCACACGCCCCCGCGACCCGCGAGGTCCTCACTTTCTCTCGCTCCTTGTTAAACATGTTACAGCTTTCGCCTCGCAGCATCTGTGTGTGTGCATCCCGTCTCGTGCGCCATCTAATGACTCCCCCAGTCTTGCTACCAAGGCGTGTCCTGTGAATATCGGAATGGCTCGTCACCCCGGACGCATTTTGGCGTGTTAGCCATGTTTTAATTTGTCGGTAGGAGAGGGGGAAACTGATAATGGTGGTAAGAGTCAAAGTACTGATTGAACTCCTGTACTTCAAACTAAAAAAAACGAAAAAAATACAAATGCTAAAATGTACTTCTGTACATTCATCCATCCATCCATTTTCTGATCTGCGTATTCGCACGAGGGTCGCAGGCGTGCTGGAGCCTCTCCCAGCCGTCCACACCCTGAACTGGTTGCCAGCCAATCACGGGGCACACGTAGACGAACAACAATTCACGCTCACAATCAAACCGAGGGACAATTTAGAGGGTTCCGTTAACCTGCCATGCATGTTTTTTGGAATGTGGGAGGAAACCGGAGATTTGGAAAAGGGGAAATTCTTGTGATTTTATGTGATCACGGAGCATGGTAACGGCAGTAGCACATTAGCACATTGTGTCAACGGCGACGTTTGTGCGGGTATGCTCTTTTACCTTCACGGCATCTGCTGTGAAGCCCTAAGGTTGGTCCTAAAATTTTAATGACACAAAAGTGAGGAAAAAGAGGTAATTTTGCGAGAGTAGCGGAGTTGGTATGCCATGAAAAATCCACGAAAAAAGATGTAATGCGTTTGGAATTCAAAGCGCAGTAGAACGTATTCTGATAATGACTCGTCAGTGCTGAGGATGCTTTGTGACTTGGATGTTGGAAGCAAAGAGAAATGCTCTTGCTTTCAATTACAGTTTTGAATGATACTTCAAGGAGACTATACTGGAGGTAGAAATCTGCCAGTGAACTCAACAAAGCCCGTTCACGTGGCTCTTGCAATGTCTCTCCAGTAATAGCATAATAAAGATTTGGCATCCAAGGTACGGTGTGCAAGAGACACCCCAGTAGACAGGCCAGTCTATTGTGTACACGCGGTTATGTGATGATATTAGAATGAGATGTTATTAGAAAAGATTCGGCTGTTTTGCTTGGGTGCGAGCGCTTTCAATTAAACCGTAGGGTGTAACCACGACGCATCTTTGTGTGCAGAGCGCCTGCAAAGCGCTGCGGTCTTGGAAGCTTGTTGCCCCTGGTGCTAAACAATTTCACTCAGGCTTTATGCAAATGAGCATATGTTGCGATGGGATTGATCAAACGGCCTATTTAGAAAAAAAAAACAAAAAAAATCTAACCAGTTTTTGGGTTGTTCCAGTTTGAAAGACCATTGAGATGTATTTATTAGGCATTTTACAGTCGTGACTTCATCAAGTAAGTGACATCATTCGAAGTATCACACTGATCTACATACCGATCTATTTGCATATATAAAAATACACTTAGCTTGATGATACGCCATTCGTCCGCCTTTTCTCTCTTTCTTCCCGTGACCATAAAATTCCCGTATTCCAGCTCCTCGTTCCCGCCCCCTGCTTCGTTTTATCCATTTCCATTCTCCGTAATGAGAAGGAGCTAATTGAAATGTTTCCAAACAGGGTGCTAATGAAACATAGACAGATTTATTAGTCATAACTCTTGCGCTAATCATTTCCCCCGTCTTAATAATTAGCCGGCGTTGAGTAAATCTTTTTACACTGTGGTCAGAGATCGTTGAGCCGGTCGGTGCCAGACGGGGACAAGATGGAGATTGGGTCAGAAAGGACTTCATGTTAGAACACTCACTTTGACTGTTTTTTTTTTTTTTGGGGTTGGGGGGGGGGGGGTCCTCGTCATTCT